AAGAATGGCTTCTCATGTCTTGCTTACAACACACCTGTTAATGCATCCCAGAATCATGTTTGCTTTCTTTGCAACAGCATCACACTGCTGACTCGTATTCAATTTGTGGTCCACTATAACCCCTAGATCCCTTTCTGCCATACTCCTTCCCAGACAGTCGCTTCCCATTCTGTATGTATGAAACTGATTGTGCCTTCCTAAGTGGAGCACTTTGCATTTGTCTTTATTAAACTTCATCCTATTTACCTCAGACCATTTCTCCAATTTGTCCAGGTCATTTAGAATTATGACCCTATCCTCCAGATTAGTCACAACCCCTCCCAGCTTGGTATCATCTGCAAACTTAATAAGCTTTTTATACCAATATCTAAATCGTTGATGAAGATATTGAAGAGAACTGGTCCCAAAACAGACCCCTGCGAAACCCCCTTTGTTATGCCTTTCCAGCAGGATTGTGAACCATTAATAACTACTCTCTGAGTGTGGTTATCCAGCCAGTTATGCACCCACCTTATAGTAGCCCCATCTAAGTTGTATTTACCTAGTTTATTGATAAGAATACTAACGCCTTACTAAAGTCTAGGTATACCACATCCACCACTTCTCCCTTATCCACAAGACTCGTTATCCTATTAAAGAAAGCTATCAGATTGGTTTGACATGATTTGTTCTTTACAAATCCATGCTGGCTGTTCCCTATCACCTTGCCACTTTCCAAGTGTTTATCTACTGGATCCCCGTTGTCTGCATGTTTGTTAACCCCTTCAGAGAACTCTAATAGATTAGTAAGACGTGATTTCCCTTTACAGAAACCGTGTTGGCTTTTGTCCGACAAATTATGTTCCTCTATCCAAGCACCAGCTCCTGCCTGCTGCGTGCGCCCCCTCTTCCCTCTCCCCCCCCGCTCCCTCTGATAGAGGAAGTAAAGGGGTTGGTGTGTAACTGTTAGGATGAACTGATGAGTCCAGGCTTATCAGTTAGCATTTACCCATTTACATGATTAACATCCCTGGTGTACACCGTAAATTTAAACCAAGTTGTAACTAGGATAAGGACATCCATGACCTTGATTCAGAGGCTGGGACTTGCATTAATCAACACTTTTCACTGTTGTAGCAAAGCATGAGGTCACTTGACTTGACTACTGTCCTGTAGTTAACAGAAACAAAAAACAGGACACTGTAGCACTTTAAAGACTAACAAGATGGTTTATTAGGTGATGAGCTTTCATGGGCCAGACCCACTTCTGGCCCACGAAAGCTCATCACCTAATAAACCATCTTGTTAGTCTTTAGCTACACCAGACTAACACGGCTACATTTCTGTAGTTAGCAGGCAGCATGGATGATGAAAAATTTGCTGATGTGAGAACTGAGACTGAAGTTAGCAGGCAGAGCCAATGTATTCTTTTGTTAATGAGGAAAGGCAGTACAAGTCATCTCACTTCCACTTGAAAGTTGAGCTCCTTGTAGTTGTGACAGGCAACATTGCGGAGCCCAGTTTATTCATAATGCTGGGCTCATAGTGTCTAATACAATACCAGAGTTCTTAATACTGTTGCTCTACCTGCTCAGCTTTGGAAATAAATGCTGCTGGTTTCTCATGGTTAACTCTCCAGGGCAGAGACCACATCGGGGCACTCTGTGTGGTACCTATCCCAATTAGAGCCTCCGGGTACAAATCTAGTATAAATGACATAATTAGTTGCTAGCATCCCAATCATGGTCTTCTCACTGATGCCCTGTTCTGACTTCTGTCCTGAAGATGTTTTAGCTTCCTTAGGAAACTTTGTTCTGTGAACCCGTGTTGGGTCACTTCTTTCCATATCCCCAAAATAATCACATAAGTTTGAAACACAGTAATAATACAGAATAATTGATTGGTGGGTTTCTTTCTTGCTGTTATGCAGGGCTATCTCTGTCATCAAGAAGTAAAAGTTCTCAGGAGTAGTAGAATGTAAGGTTGGGCAGGACAGATGCTTTCCTGTTACAGCAAAATTCCTCCTACCAGCCCTTCTGAGTGACTTGATTCACCCACTAGCAAATTTTGCTAGGTAGAATGAACATGGTCGTGGGAGGTAGGAACTACTATTTTCTAACTCTGGCTCTGACCTCATTAGTTTTGTGACATTGGACAATTTTACCCTTCCATTTACCTACCTCTGAAATGGGGCTTATATGTCATACAGGTGTCATAGAGATTTGTGGTTGTGGATGAAGATGAGGATGTATTTGATGCACTTAAAGATTTCTTAACATAAAAAATGACTATACTGGGTCAGACCAAAGGTCCATCTAGCCCAATATCCTGTCTTCCAAAAGTGGCCGATGCCATGCTTCCCGAACAAAACAGGAAATCAGCATGTGATCCATCTCTAGTCATCCATTCCTTCCTGCTCATCCTGGCTAATCCTGAGTTAGAACAAAACTATAGTTTTGAATTCCTGACAGTTCCCTGATACTCACTGAAAACTTGCATTTTGTCAATTGCAGATGAGCAGGAGGCATTGAACTCCATCATGAAGGACTTGGTTGCACTTCAAATGGGCCGACGTCATAGAATGCCTGGCTTTGATACCATGAAAAGTAAAGATACTGCTCACTCTAACAAACAGGTAAAGGATCATTTAATGGAGATTGAAAATTATGCCCTGATGTAAGGATAGGGACATAATTCAAAATGACCTTAGCAAGTTAGAGAAATGGTCAGAGGTAAACAGGATGAGGTTTAATAAAGAGAAATGCAAAGTGCTCCACTTAGGAAGGAACAATCAGTTCCATACATACAAGATGGGAAGCGACTGTCTAGGAAGGAGCATGGCAGAAAGGGATCTAGGGGTCATAGTGGACCACAAGTTGAATATGAGTCAACAGTGTGATGCTGTTGCCAAAAAAGCAAATATGATTCTAGGTTGTATCAACAGGTGTGTTGTAAGCAAAACTCGTGAAGTCATTCTGCCGCTCTACTCTGCACTAGTTAGGCCTCAGCTGGAGTACTGTGTCCAGTTCTGGGCGCCACATTTCAAGAAAGATGTGGAGAAATTGGAAAGGGTACAGAGAAGAGGGACAAGAATGATTAAAGGTCTAGAGAACATGACCTATGAAGCCAGGCTTCATGAACTGGGCTTGTTTAGTTTGGAAAAAAGAAGATTAAGGGGGGACATGATAGCGGTTTTCAAATATCTAAAAGGGTGTCACAAGGAGGAAGGAGAAAATTTGTTCCTCTTGGTTTCTGAGGACAGGACAAGGAGTAATGGGCTTAAAGTGCAGCAAGGGAGGTTTAGATTGGACATTAGGAAAAAAATTCCTAACTGTCAGGGTGGTCAAATATTGGAATAAATTGCCAAGGGAGGTGGTGGAATCTCCCTCTCTGGAGATATTTAAGAACAGGTTAGATAGACATCTGTCAGGGATGGTGTAGGTGGAGCTTGGTCCTGCCTTGAGGGCGGGGGGCTGGACTTGATGACCTCTTGAGGTCCCTTCCAGTCCTATTATTCTATGATTCTATGATGTATTTGCTTCAACTGCAATAGAGCACCAGTATTGATGCAAGTCCTAGTATTGCAGAGGTATGTGCCCACTTCATTGGCTTTATTCTCCCCTAATTTGAATTTAGTCATTATTTTAACTTCACTTTGGGGTTATTTATTCCTTCTTTTGGACTAAAGAAAGTTTTGTGACCTGTTTAGAGCCACTCCATGATCTGTCTTCCTGGTATATCTAGAAAGACATCTGAGTAGATTGGCTGAAAATGCTACCAAGTGTTTTTTTTTCTTTTAGCGTACACAGTCCAGCTTTCGTTATTTTTATGACCTAACATTTTAATAATGTTTCTTTTAAGAAAAGGCAGAATGCCAGCAGTCCGGCCCTCCTGAGCAACCCTACAATAACAAACCAGTGTGCCTGTGCAGTAGAGGAAAAAAAAATTCCGGTAAGAAAACTGGTTTCCGTTTCAGAATTATAAATTAAGAGAATGTTCATCGTCCGTGACGTTTACAGAGCTCATTTAAGCAGATGTGGGAGATCGAGAAAGGTGTGGCATTTTTTTCTATTGCCTTTATCTTGTTGCAGGAGAATGTACCTTCCCCAGGAGAGCATTGGAGGCTCCATTACTTGAATAATTTAAATAATCTAGACAAAGTTCGGGGGATTGTTTTTGTAGGGATGAATCCTGCACTGACTTCTTAGCAGGAGAGAACAGGATAACAAATAGGTCTTATCTGGCTAAGACTAGTGAATTCAGAAAGACCACATTAACTTAGGAAGACCACCGTGTGTCATTTAGGTGAATCCCAGTTCAATCCAAACTCAATGTAACCCAGAGGCGCTGGGACCATTGAGAGGAAGGGTGAAGTCTTCTGTACATCTGTAGCTAAGAGCCAAGTGACTTTTAGCTCATGCAGTAGAGACTCATGGCTTTAGTCCCTAAGGTCCCAGGTTCAATCCCACCTGCCAATGGACCTGAGTTGTGGCCACTACATCATTTAAAAGCCAGTTGACTCTTAGCTAAGAATATAGGGCAAACATCACTCTCCCTCTCAGTGGTCTCATTGCTTATAGGTTACATCAGCAATACCCTCTAAAGCTTTTAATTTGCAAATATTTGTCCAGTACTTTCAAAGAATTCAAGTCACCTGGGCTTAAAGACAGGATGTCAGATGGCTTTAGAGGACTGGACCCAGTTTAAACTTTGAGACTGTTGTGTATATCTAGTTAAGTTCCTTCCTGCCCCCTGATCTCTGTCCGTATTGGATGTATTGCCTCACTACTGACCCAGGGTCAACAGAGGACAACCTCCATTGTAGCAAAGTGTGGCTGGCTGACTGAATGTGTAATAAGCCACATTTTACTACAATCAAAGATGAGCAGCACTCCTAAATCTCCCTGATCAGCTTTGAACTTTGATGTCCTGCTGGTGTGGGATCAGAGTTCAACACCTATTATTTCTTAGGTGGACACAGTCAGACTGCCTGTCATATTTGGTCTCTGATACATGGTAAATTCACTGGTCTATTTTTCATGGAATTGTATTGCCCAAGCAAGGGGTGCTCAGTGGGGTAAGAGTTAGTTCACTCTTATTTCAGCTAGACACCAAGGATCAAATCTTGGCTTATTCAGCAAGTGGGAATGAACCTGGTTTCCTGATCTACACCTGATTTGTCCATCATGCGGAATCTTCACCTCCATTGAGCACAATTAGCACGTTGTTCAGAAGAGGATTAGGACTAGGGGTGTGAGTGTCAGACTGTTTGTGCAGTGAATTAATTATCTGTGCCCCTCTCAAGCTAGTGCTTAGTCCAGTGGTGTTCAACAGATTGAGTGCCCATTCCAGGAACTGCTTATGCTTTTCCATATCATAGTGGCCATGTCTTTTTTTTCCTTTTTCCATTCCTTTGTCTCCTCTCTGTCTCCCTGAGCATATATTATCCTATTTTTGTTTTCTTTTATCCTAGTTTTTTCCCCCTCTGTGTTCCCTCGCTCATTAGAAAGCTACATGCACCATAGAGTTGGGGAGTCTTTAGGAAGCTCTTTGGAGCCAAGCTGTTTGTTGTGAGATCATAGATGGTTTGAGCCAGAGAGTTGCTTCCAGAGTCCGTAGCCCAGTAGTGGGCAACCTGCAGCCCAAGGACCTCATGTGGCACGTTGAGGTTTTATGTGTAGCCCATGTGACATTTACTGTTGCCCATGTGCACAGTTGCCAGATTCTGCTGATTTTTGTCCACATAGCTTTTTTTCCCCTGTACTTTTGTACAGTATTACAAAAGTGACATGCACTTAAAGCAAAGACCCGTGAAGTGAGGTGCATGCTGATTGTACATAGCATTGTGAGAGCTATGTGCTCCCTCTGCATCCAGTTGGCACACTCCACAAATTCTAGGTACTCAAGCACAATTAGCAAAGCTACTGTATATCAGGAGACTGTCTTGGTTATGACAGTCTTGAGGCCCACTAAGATGGAGGGCCACTCATGCAACCCACTCACTAGCCTAGATTACCTCTCACTGCTGTAGTCCTGTGTGCAGGAGCTACCCCTATGGATTACTCATTAGAACAGGGAGGATGGATTTCAAGAAACTACCAAGTGCTGCACCCGTAGCAGCATGTTTTTGCAGAGCATCAGACTAGATCTGCTTTCATAACCTACTGTCCAAGCTGTGTGTATTTCAGGGTGAATGTGGTCTGTAGGAATGAATCTGTTGGTTTTTGCCTTTTGTCTGGATACCCTAACTTTACCTGAGTATCCAGAAATCAACTGTTCTTGTGGTCACATTGACAAGAATAGCAGGTAATTGTCAGGAATCCAGCTCTCTTTTCCAGTATTTCTCATATTGTCCCTGAGTGTCTATGGATCTGTAGTTCCCAAGTTTAGCTTTTCAGCTCCATATAGTTCTACTGAAACATAGATAAATTCTGAGATGTTCATCCTAACCTTAATGAGAAGTCAAGTGTCAGGAGAAGCTCTTAAGTCATCCACGGTGCTTAGGAAGGCATTGAAGGAATGATCCAGAATAAGGATGTTAAGAATCAGGTAACTGACTAATCGTGTAGTCAGTACAATTTGTATTGACATGATTAGTAGATAAGGGGAGGTGCTCTGTTTCTGCTCGGTCCAGGAGCTACCCCCACTGAGATTCTGCAGTTTAAATGAGTAGGATCCAGGCACACAGGCAGTCCAGCTTTTACTACATTTAAACTGCAGAGCCATAGCAAGGGTAGGTCCGGGACCTGACATGAGCTGGGACAGAGCAGTCCTGACTTGTGCCGGGTCCTGCACCTCTACACCTTAAATGTAGTAAGAGCCACCCTGCTCTTGCTACATTTAAAATGTAGAGCCTAAGTGGGGTGAGGTCCAGGAAAGGTTGACGTTGAACTAGGTGGGCCATGGGCCAAAAAGTTTGAGAACCACCAATCTAGATGTTTGAAAATGGATTTCTTAATTATTTGTTCCGTTATCTTATCTGGTACAGAAGTTAATTTCATCTGTAATTCCCTAGATTACTCTTATTTCCCTTTTTATAGATGGGCACTATATTTCCTGCACTCCTGTGCAGCTTTATTGTGGAGTGTCTTGACAGCTACCACCTTTCACCCCAGAAAGTTTTTTGCCAGTTGCTGAAATGTAGCCTATCCCCATCCTGGCGTTATTAGTTGAGATAAAATTCTAGGATCTTTGGCTCTCATATGAGTCTGTCCTTTAATGCTATAGGAACAACTTAATGAATGGAGAGCAATAGTAGGTTATCTTGTGTGCACCAGCCTAACTGGAGATCGGAGGGTGTCTAGTGTCCACTCAATGAATATATTGTGGAGGTACTGTCCTCACAAACTCATGTGTGCCTGGTAGGGCAAAGGTGAGAGCGGGATCCCAAGGAGCCCAGGATTGGGCTGGGAAACAGGACCCAGAGGAGCACACAAGTGTTCTTACATGCTCTTAGGTGTCTCAAACTCTCCTTTCCAGCTCTGAGCTGGCTGCCTTACACCCCTCAAAATATTATTTAACACACGTGTTGTCTTTACATCTATTAAAACATTCCTTTCTTTGGTGGAGGTCTTAACATCCTTTATTCTTTTGCTCATTACATTGTATCTGTTCTTCAAGCTTATTATGGGGATATACACTTGAATTTTTTTCTTGTTTCCCACAGCTAGTGCTCATTTTCTCTTGTGTGGTTTTTTTTTTGTGGGGGGAGGGGGTTGCCTGTTTCTCAGCATGTATCGGAGATTGAGAGTTAGATCCCTCTGTCTACAGAGCAGTTGAAGTTTTGCTACACCGATTAGCCCAGCTGCTGCTGCTTCTATGGAGAAAATAATTTTCAGCTACAACACAGAAGTTCTTATTTTTAAAAATTGGACTTAGATTTCTAAATTAATTGCATTAAAGTTTTTTTGCGAATGGGTGACATTTTCAAAAGTTCTTTTCATATGCAAATGAATACATTTTCTATTGGAGTCCTCAGAATCCTACGGTCTGTTGAAATTGACTTCAAGTCAAGTGATGGTATGTGAGGCAAGTCTTTGAAATTAACACAAATAATGCAGCTGTGAAGAGAAATAAGCATTTTTGAAAAATGCTCTTAGCTTGCTTAATGCAACCTCAGGCTGTGCTGTGGGAAGGTGCAAATCTCTTGCCTGCTCCTTTCCCTGAACTGTCTGCCTATCATCTGCTCTGGCAGGATTTCTTTGAATTCTTTAGCCAATCCACAGATGAAATTCTGTGAAGTTCTTATTGATTCAGTCTCAGGCATAGATGTTTTAGACTCAGAAATGTTGTGAATTTTTATAGTACTGATCACCGTGCTATCCAAGTGTAGAATCAGAACACCAAAGCCCAGAATTAAAGGTTTTTTTCACAAGCCATGAGGCAGAGGAAGGGAATTTTGAATAAAAGGTGGGTTTTTTTTTTTAAAGACTTCAACTCTGAAGGAAGGCAGAAGGCATTCAATGCACCAATGCTGAGATTTTCAGAGGAAACTAAGGCTGTTAGATGCTGAACCCCTTTAGGCTTTTGAAAATCTCTAGTCATTTTCATGTCTCACAGGGGCTTAACTCGAAATAAGCTACACAAATTGAGCTACATCAATTGCGTAGCTTATTTCAAAATAGCTTATTTTGAAATTGGGAGTGTCTGTGCAGCACTTATTTCAAAATAGAGTACTCTTCCTCTGACTTCCCTTACTCCTCATGCAATGAGGAGGATTACAGGAGTCAGAGTAAGAAGTCCTCCAGCTTGACAGTATTTCGACATTATTTCGAAATAACTGCCTGCTGTGTAGATGCAGACTAAGTTATTTTGAAATAATGCTAGTTATTTTGAAATAATGTTGCTGTGTAAATGCACCCAAAGATGTAAAGAGAAACTTTTGAAAGCAAAAATGAAAGGTAAATGTTTGATTGCCTTTTGACCCTTGAAAAACCTTCCCCTTATTTACAGATTTAAAAGAGATTTTTATTTTTCTGTAGTGCATAGACCTATAGAGACAGGACCTTCTCTAGTGCTTCATGAAAAAGGCACGTCTAGACTGGGTTTTTTGGCGAAAAAACCTCTTCCGCAAAGAGGGTCAGAAGAGGATATGTAAATGAAGCGCAAAAATATGTTGATCAGTGCTTCATTTGCATTTCCCCTTTCAGAAGAGGAAAGCAGTATAGATGTGCCCTCTGGCAATCACTGTATCACAGTACCACTCCTGCAGTAGTTTGCAGGTAAACCTGGGCCCACTTTCCACCCCCAGGTTCCAGCTCAGGGATCTTCTATACAGCAGCCAAGGTCTATTCCCTGCAATGTGCTGCCTTTCCCCAAGATACCCCTTTACCACCTATAGCCAATCTCTTTACTCCCTTCTTCCAGTGTAACTGTAGACAACTCATTTTTGCAACTCCTCCCCTTCCTCAGCCCACCATGCCCTTCTGCTTTCAGTTTCCTGTCTCTTGTAAAAGCCCTCTCTCTCCCAGGTGAACTTCTCTCTAATTAGTTTTCTCCAGCATAAAGCTCTCCTACTTCCAACCTAATTAGCTGATTGGGCTTGGGCCTGGGCCTTGGACTGAGCCAGTGTGGGGAGCACGCCTCTCGTACTTCCCCCATACCTGAGCAAACTTTAGGAAAATCATATGTAAATTACTTTGGCTGCAGATCATTGTTCTTCTGGTCAGGAAGTCCATTTGTCATGATCAGTTATGTACCTACAGGACTTTTGTGGGAATACTGTGTACTGACTGTGAATGCATGGGTCTCTTTGAACTGCATTCTTGACCACTGGGTCTGCCAGATATTTCCGCTACCTTAAAGAGCATTTCCTGGCTTCTTTTTTTTTTTTTTTTTTAAAGTTCCTAGATGTATGATTGCCTATTGTCTTTATGGCTTTCACAGCTGGCTTCATCCACTCTAATCACTTAGGGTTGCACAGCAGAAATTATAATAACTTATCAGAGCAGATTTTTTCCTTTTTAGTTTTTAATCTTTGTGATCTAAATTGGGATTTGAACTTCAGTCTCTAGTGGTTAAATGTGCTGTACTTTCACTCCCTGTGCTATCTAGCATCCTCTCCGTTTACACTTTAGTTCACAGGTACCACATTGGTGGGTACGTTAATAAACCCTAGATAACGTGGATTGCAAACCTACATTTTAAATAATGACATTACAAATTCCTTGTATTATGAAAGTATTGGTTGTGACTTCATCATAGAGGCTGTATATATCTTAAAGCGGGGATTTAATGTCTTTTTATAAATAAAATGGCAAATCCTCCCTCATTTTTATAGTAGGAATATTAATTTTAGATTAATTGGCTAATCGAATAGTCGATAAGGGTGCACCCGGTTTTTAAAGTGTAGGAGCAGCCCCAGAGTTGTTGCTACACTTCAAAGGCGAAAGCTCTGTGGGAAGCACGGGGCCAGCGGAGGACTCAAGCAGTCCCCCCTGGCCCTGTGCTCCTGTGATGTTTCAGAGCAGCAGCACTGCATGGAGCTCAGGGTCTGGCTCCAGGCTCCATGCAGTACTGATGCTTTGAAGCACCCCCTTTTTTCTCTCTCTCCCCTGCTTGCTTCCTCTTTCTGATAGAGGCAGCCAGGGGTGCAGGAGCAACTAATATGACAACTATCCGATAAGCATTTATTATAGCTACATTGCAAAAGAAATAACCTATGGCAGTGAGTCTCAAAGCTTCAGTCAGCTGATTTGGGCTTGTGCTATAGCAGTGGTCCCCAACCTTTTGGGGCTGCCAGAGGGTGGGGCCGCGCACATGCCGGGTGCCCCCGGGGGTGGGGCCGCTCATGCGCTGCACATTCGGGGGCAGGGCCACCTGTGTGCCTGGGACCAGCACTGCCCATGCACCCGGGCTAGGTGCCACCCATGCATGATCACTCGGTGAGCATGATCCCTCGGCTGGGGCCATGGCACCCGCGGGCACCGCATTGGGGACCACTGTGCTATAGGATTAAAAATAGCAGTGTAGATGTTCCCTCTCATGATCTAATTATAAGTGTAGATTCCTAGAAAGGGACCAATTTAATAGCACCCATCTCTCCAAGTACTTGAGAAGTAATTCTACCAGTCATGATCACTTCTTCCCAGCTAATTTGCATGCTGCAGTCATTTGAAACAGAGATGTCAGGAAAGCAATGCTTTACTTAGTAAGGAGTTCTTGTGGTTTGTTTACTTGCCTCATATCTGTTGCTGCTCTTTAAAAGTTCCAAGGCCACAACCTAGTTCCCAGGACCATCAGTGAGTAAAAGAACAAAATCAACACATGCACTTGCTCAGTCTTCCCTTCTGGTGCATGAGGGAATGAATCGCCCCTCTCTCTATTCCTTCACTCCCCACAATCCTCCCCTTTCATATCTTTTGTCACCACCTCATGCTCTCCCCATATATGGGTGCTTCCTCACCCTCCTCTTAGCTCCTCATGGTGCCCAGTGTTCCTGTTGGTGCTGGTAGAAGAGGAGAATATGGTTATAACTATGCCAGACACATCACAGTTGTGTCCTAGGCAAATTTACCAAGTAAACTTCTATGATTTAAAAAAAATTACCTTTTGTCCCAGATAACCAAGTTAATATGTCAATTTCAAACTAAGAATTAGATATGTTCCTTACTCTTTTGTGTTGCTTTGTTGTCAGATCCTTCTACCTGGCTTGTGTGCTCCAGATACAAATCTCATTGACATAAACCAGATAGTAAGTTTGAGATGTTACAAAATTAATGCTGCTTTATAAATTTGAAGTCTGCAGGTGGTTATACTGGGAGAGAGACACTAGTTGAGCAATGGTTCTGCTTGGGTGCAATCATTTGAGAGAAAGGAGCAACAAAGAATGATGCTTCAGTGAGCATACTTATTGCAAGGCAGAATAGACTGACCATCTGTTGATTTCTGATGGATGCTACCAGAAACCAGGCTTTATTATTTGTCATCAGATAGGTGAGAACTTACTATATAAGAAACAACCTGATTATTGGAAAATAAGGCTTTTTCTGGGATTAAAGAGGGAAGAGGGTTGAAAACTACAATGTATTGAACGAGAACAGAGAACAAAAAAATCATATTTTGTCACACAGGTCCTCATTATATGCATTGTTATAACTTATGAAATAAGCCAAAGAGTTGGATGATGAACTAATCTTCTGTTTCATCTCTCTTGAGCAGAGTGACGTAAGGATAAAGTTTGAACATAATGGGGAAAGACGGTAAGTTTTGGCCTTCAATGTTTTCATATACAGTATTTCTGTTAAAGTATGCTAGTCAGGCTACATGGATGTGGACTTCAAAGGAGTTTCACATAGTGCATGACATTATGACTTTGAGCTTAATTGGGTTTCTGTTTGAAATGGCTGACTGACTAAAGAGAGCTCTTTAACCAGGGTGGGGTAAAGGGTATCTCCCGTTGGGATTCTTGAGTTCTCCCTTAGTGCTCCCCCCAAACTCCTGTTTTTCACTTTCACTTCCTTGAGGTCCTTTTTTTAAAATCCTATTTGAAGTTTTGTGGTTCTGTCTGTAGTGTTTATTGTGGTCAGAGGGGCTCCTTTGGAAGAAGGAAGGGATTTTCTCTCTCCCCCTCAACACATGCTTTTGTAGA